TTTTGCGTTCTCGAATCAGAATCGTGTAAGAAATGCAATTCCTAAGAGAGAAAATAGCGTTTCGGTATGAGATGAGAACATCTGTGAGATCAAACAACTCCAAATGCAAGAAGGTGAAGAAGAACCTGAACATGTTGAAGTTCAAAAGGATGAAGTTGAAGCCCTAGATCGAGGTATGTCCTCTTTCTTTGCTTCGTTTTTCTTCTTTTTTTATCACTTCGAAGGTCGTCGTCGTCGTCGTCGTCGTCGTCGTCGTCTCTCTCTCTCTCTGTGCTTTTCGTCCCTCTGTCGCAGTTCGTCTCTCTCGCTGGCAGATCGTCTCTCTCTTTCTCGCAGATCCTCTCCCCTTCTCTGTTTTTCATCGGCTCCTCCTCTCTGTTTTCTGTCTCTTGCTGATCGTCTCCCTTCCTTCTTTGTTTTTCATTTATCTCTCTCTCTCTCTCTCCCTTTTTATTTATTCTCTCTCTTCTTTTTTATTTATTTATATTTCTTTTTATTCTCATAAAGATTGAATATACTCTTTTTTTATAACAAAAACCCTACCTTTTTGTTTATTTATACTTGAGACCCTTTTTTATTTTTTCTATTTTTTTTTCAATTTTATACATATAATAAATAATATTATAACATATATATATATATATATATATGTCAATTTATTTATTAAAAAAAATATGTACATGTATGTCAATTAAAAATAAAAAAATATATATAGATAAATTAAAAATATAATTAATAACAATAATACATAATCAATCTTAATCTACGACTCCTCTAAGTGGCCACGTTCCCCCGCTCTCGCTCTCGCTCTCGCTCCCATTTCCGCTTCCCCTTCGTGCAACTAAGGCATGAGCGGAAGTCCTAATCAGAGCGCACGAGTGGCCCAGCCCAAAAGCATTCTCCTTCCACGTTGTAGGAGCGGCCCATTTCCGCTGCTGGAGCGGCCAAAATTCAGCGCTCGTGCGGCCCAATTCAAAAAAAAAAAAAAAAATTCCACCGCACGAGCGGCCTAGGCCCAAAAGCATTTTGCTTCCATACCGCAAGAGTGGTCCAATTTCGCCACTGATGTGGCTCATCCGGGCGGCCCAAAAGGGCACCCGAGCAAACCAAACAAAAAAAAAAAAAAAAAGTGCCTGCAAAATTTTTTTCTTCTTATTATATTTATTTTGATTTACTTATTTTATATTTCTTCACAAAAAAGGTACAATTTTATTTCTTTATTTATTTTATTTCCTTATTTTATTTACATATAAAAAAAATAAAAAAAAAATTGCAATTTTTATTTATTTATTTATTTATGTTATTTTATTTTCAAAAAAAAAAAAAGAAAAAAAAAATCATTCCTTTAAGCCAAACCCTAGACCCACTTGTTGATCCTCCTCACTTACCCAACTACACTCTCTCTTTACCTCTCATCTTCTTTTTCTTTCTCTCTCTCTCAACCCCACACACACCCAAAGACTCCATCCAACCCCACTATCACCATCTTCTTCTTCCTACTTCCTTCCACTTTCCCTCGCCACCACCTTTCACCGGAGCATCACCATTTTTTCCGACCGGCGACCTTCCGGCGACCATTTTTTTCGGCAGATCTACATCATCTGCTTCCTTTATTTTCTTACTTTTTTTTTTAAGGTAATCATCCTCTTTTTGTTTAGATTTTTTTAGTTTTCACTTGTAATATAGTAGTTTAATGGTTGTTTTTGAGGTCTATTCATCATCATGTTCATCATTGACATCCTCTCATAAAAAAAAAAAAAAAAAAAATTCATCTTCTTCCTTTCTCTTCTTCCTGTTTTTTTTTTAAGGTAATCATCATCTTTTTAGATTTTTTTTAGTTTTCACTTGTAATATATTAGTTTAATGGTTGTTTTTGAGGTTTACTCATCATCATGTTCATCATTGACATCTTCTTATACAACAACAACAACAAAACTGGGCATGTTATGACGACTCAACCCTAGGGGCTTAGGGCTGGAATCGCAACTTACTAATTAATTCTAAGCTTAATAAATTAAATGGCGCAGGCAGAGGCAAAATGGAAGTAAGAAAATAATTAAATAGAAAATTTACTTCATTTGACTATTTTGATAAAAAGAAAGTACATCTATAGGGCCTTTATTTATTTATTTTATTATGCAGTGATCGGCCTTCAGTAAAAAAATAAAAGGAAGAAAAGAAAAAAAAATAACAGATCAACATCAATTCTTGTTCAGGTTCCACTGCATGAGGTTACGGGTCTTCTTTACATCTCCTCACCTGAAAGGGTAACAGCTATAAGCACACAGCAGAGTGGAAAATATTATGCCAAGAGTATAGGGAACATGAAATAATCATAGATAGTTAGTTAAGTTAAAACATTTGCATAACTTAATTTGAATAAACAAATTATTCAAAGTGGCACAAACTGAAATACAAAAATTATGTAAATAAATAACCATAATCATGGTACAAAACAAAACATAACAGAGGTCACAGGAGTGATAATCAGAACATAGGTCAATGGATCCATGACAAACAGAGGACCACAAAGTGGCCAAACCACTACAAGAAATTGCACTTTTGGCGACTACTTTTGGCAACGACGTCAATTTTTCATCACTAAAAGTATATTTTTGGTGACACGGTGATCAATTTCGTTGGTAAAAGTATACCTTTACCGACGCAATTTGTTGCCATCGCTAAAAAGGCATAACATTATTTTAGCGCCAATTTTTTTGGTTGGCGCCAAAATTTCAAAACTTTTATCTACGAGGCTTATGTTTTAGCAACACAATGAGCGTTGCTATTAGTGTGCTTACTTTTGGCGACGACAAGTGGGCGTGAGCAAAGAGTTAACCATTTAGCGATGATGACACTATTCGTTGGTAAAAGTTTTACTAGTGGAATAATGTGATTTAGTGATTTGTGTTTTTTATTATAATTTTTGAAAGAGTTTTAAATATTTTAGTTACTTAATTGTAAAATTAAAATGATCATTGAATTAGATCACAAAATGAACCCATTGAGCCCAAACACAGTCTTAAGTTGAGATGACTAATTTGAGATAATTTAAATTTTTTCACAGAATATGGTTAGATTATCAATTTCAATATGTTTGTTTTTATTTTCAGGAACTAGTTTCAAAAAATTTTTTCCTAAAAAACTAAAAACAAATTGGGTGAACAAAAAAATACTTATTATTTTTGTATAGTTTTATCTTTTAGGTCATAAATACTTTTTAAAATTTTAAAAATATAATTTTCAACCACAACAATGGCGTCTCTCACCCCTGGCATCCTCTCCAAACTTCTCCAAAATCTCAGCAACACTGTCGCCGGAGGGTATCGACAAGAAAGTGGGTGTGAAAGGAGAGATTGAGGGTTTGGGAAAAGATGGGTTAGAGAGAGAGAGAGTCTGCCTTCTCTCTAGAAATTGCCTAAATTTCTAGGGTTTTCTCATTCAACATTTCGTTGATAATGGCTAATCTCACATCTAATTTACGCAATTTGGCTACGATGGCTGATGGGTTAGTGACTGAAGGTTCTCCTTCGCCTAAGGGGAGTTCGCACATCGTGAAATATTTACTGTTGGAGAGGGATTTGTTAACATTGATGGACACCGTGTAGCGAAATGGAGGTAAAAATCAGTCTTCTGCCTCCGAGATCGTTTTGGGTATGAGCCCTAGGGCTTCGATTGGGGTTCAGTCCGAGTTCCCTACTCCTAGTTCCTTTGTCGAAGCTATGGGTGGTCTCTGTTCTGAGATCCGAGACCTTGCTCAGCAACAAAAGCTTTGTTTTGGGAGAGAAGTGGCGTTGAGCCCTGCCATTGTTATTCACAGTTATGGCTAAGGATTTATGGGTCAATTGCTTAGGCTGTTTGAAATGCCTGATCATTAGATTTTTCTTAACTAATTCATGCATTGAATCAATTTTACAGCACTGCTACAAATGTTGAGATTGAGTTGCCTGTTCCAGCCGATGCTACCAACCCAAATGTTTGGACATCATTGGGATCTGCTTCATATGCACCAGAAAAGGATGCTTTGATTTGGAAAATTAAATCTTTTCCTGGTGGTAAGGTGAGAGTTTACCTCAATTTTTTCTCAGTGTATTGTTTGCTAGTAATTTCTTGTTCATGGCTATTGGTTATGTGGGGCTACAGTATCTTTTCCACTTGCAATTTTGACATGGAATTTTGACACTCTTTGCAAATTCAATTTAGGAATATATGCTTAGAGCGGAGTATACTCTTCCCAGTATAACATCTGAAGACGCAGCTCCTGAGAGAAAAGCTTCTATACGTGTGAAGTTTGAGATACCATATTTTGTTGTTTCAGGAATCCAGGCACATCGTGAAAGATTTACTGTTGGAGAGGGATTTGTTAACATTGATGGACATCGTGAAGTGAAATGGGGGTAAAAATCAATCTTCTGCCTCCGAGATCGTTTTGGGTATGAGCCCTAGGGCTTCGATTGGGGTTCAGTCTGAGTTCCCTACTCCTAGTTCCTTTGTCGAAGCTATGGGTGGTCTCTGTTCTGAGATCCGAGACCTTGCTCAGCAACAAAAGCTTTGTTTTGGGGGAGAAGTGGCGTCGAGCCCTGCCGTTGTTATTCACAGGTATGGCTAAGGATTTATGGGTCAATTGCTTAGGCTGTTTGAAATGCCTGATCATTAGATTTTTCTTAACTAATTCATGCATTGAATCAATTTTACAGCACTGCTACAAATGTTGAGATTGAGTTGCCTGTTCCAGCCGATGCTACCAACCCAAATGTTTGGACATCATTGGGATCTGCTTCATATGCACCAGAAAAGGATGCTTTGATTTGGAAAATTAAATCTTTTCCTGGTGATAAGGTGAGAGTTTACCTCAATTTTTTCTTATTGTATTGTTTGCTAGTAATTTCTTGTTCATGGCTATTGGTTATGTGGGGCTATAGTATCTTTTCCACTTGCAATTTTGACATGGGATTTTGACACTCTTTGCAAATTCAATTTAGGAATATATGCTTAGAGCAGAGTATACTCTTCCCAGTATAACATCTGAAGACGCAGCTCCTGAGAGAAAAGCTTCTATACATGTGAAGTTTGAGATACCATATTTTGCTGTTTCAGGAATCCAGGTTTCCCCTCTCATATACAATTTTTTTTTTATTTTAATTTTTTATTGAATAGAAAATTCAGATTTTGTTGCATGTATATCTGCAATGCTTCATTCTTTCTGTGTCTGCTGTGTTTGCATCTTTTTTTTCATTTTTTTTAATCTATCTAGACAAAGGTGGAATGGATAAAACCAAACCTTGTGTTCCAATCAGGAATGATAAACCAAAACCAAACCAAACTTTGTGTTCCAATCAGGTGGGAGGATTCATACTTGATGTGGTTGAACACTCAAATCTGATTCAGGATATCACTCCCTGTTACATGCATGTAGCATGCACCTACCATTACTGCCCTGCTCTCCTTGATCAAATCAACAAATATAAAAAAAAATAAATAATAATACAAAAAGGTTGGTTGTTGGACTGAGAATACTATTTCACTCACTTCCCAGGATTGCAGGATACATAAATCTGCATTTTGTATGACTCTTATTTGGGTTTCATTATGCCCTGAAATGCTTGTCCTCCCAACAGAGGTCATGAATGACTGTGAACGACTGCTCCTCTGTAACTACCTATCCCAATATTACTTCCTTTTGACTCTGCATTAAAAGGGCCAACCTGCTTTTTAAATTCACAGATATGGATACAAAAAAGGGCCAAACTACTCTCTGTCTGTCTCAGCCATTTTGGCACTGTAATTTGTCATTAGAATAGAATAGAATAGCTGCTCCTGCACTGTATTTCCTTTTAGAATAGAATAGCCTGTTGAACTTCTTAGAGATGTGGTTTTCCACAGATGTTAGTGATTGAGCGTGATTAAACCTATGTATTATAATTATTCTTATTCTTGTTTGCTGTTTTCTGCTGCTGGGATGTGAAACTTCTAAACCTTAAGCGAAGGGGTTGATGCCTACTTGCCCTAGTTCTGGTCTTGTTCTTGTTTCGAGGAGTGAACAATGCCACTGGTTTTAACTTTGAAATTTATTTTATTTTATTCAAGTTGGTTGGGGAAACTGCTTTGGTGACTCTTCATGATGATGTATTCCTACTGTTTGGTTCTTCTGGATGCTCAGTTTGGTTCTGAACGTAACATAACAACCATAATAAAATAATATCCTTTATTTATGTAAATGTTGTGTTTTGTAGGTTCGTTACCTAAAGATTATCGAGAAAAGCGGCTACCAGGCTCTTCCATGTGTGAGATACATAACCATGGCCGGCGAGTATGAACTAAGACTTATGTGAAAATCTACTTCCACCTGTTGGTGTTCTCAATCTCTACAAACTCGCATGATTTTGCACTTTCGTGGGCAAAATGAGCCTATAGGAGAGTTAAATTGCCCCTATCCAGACAAATAGCTAATTGAGCAAATTCTTGTGCGTCCGTTTTCTTTGTTGAAGTCATTGTTGATTATCAACCAGAGGTTTGTAGAAGTTGATGTTTACTAGCAAAGTTTATTCATACATTTGTGAAAATCAAGTTAAGTTTTGTGAATTAAAGTTTGTTTGTTCGTGATATTTTTTTGAACTCGTCCGCTTTTTATGTTTTTATTATTAATTCAAAAAACCGAAGGTATATGCATCAGCACAAGATGACTGTCATGGTAATTTATGTATGATAGAAAAGCCTTGTTCTTGTGATGTCAGTAGGAGAGTTAAATTGCCCCTATCCAGACAAATAGCTAATTGAGCAAATTCTTGTGCGTCCGTTTTCTTTGTTGAAGTCATTGTTGATTATCAACCAGAGGTTTGTAGAAGTTGATGTTTACTAGCAAAGTTTATTCATACACTTGTGAAAATCAAGTTAACTTTTGTGAATTAAAGTTTGTTTGTTCGTGATATTTTTTTGAACTCGTCCGCTTTTTATGTTTTTATTATTAATTCAAAAAACCGAAGGTATATGCATCAACACAAGATGATTGTCATGGTAATTTATGTATGATAGAAAAGCCTTGTTCTTGTGATGTCAGAGCTTCATGTGTTCACTTACATGATCATCTGACGTCCACTTGCATTACAACCTAAACTGATTGATGTGTTTTTTGACATCAAGGCATTAATCTTTCCTTTGGCAGGTACGCATCTTTTGGACCTGAATATGCCTACCCACAGGTTAGTAAATTCAAATCTCAACTGCTAATGGGTATTTTGGTACTCCAGTTGGTTCTGGAAAGGAATATCTACACAATCATGGTGTGTTCTGTCTATTTTTTCAGGGTGTCTACAATCCTCACATGGGTCAGCATTACCTTCAAATATATGGTGTACCAAGCACAGTTAACACAAATATTGTCCCATATGGACAAATGGGTCATCCTCTCTCTGGTAACCATGGGTATCCAACCATTCAGGGCTATGTGACACCAGATCGTCATGTTCTGCAATATGGGGGACCCCTCGTCAATGGAGTAACTACAGACACTATTGCCATAACTCAAGCACAATACCTTGCAGGTAACTCTCTCTCTCTCTCTCTCTCTCTCTCTCTCTCTCTCTCTCTCTCTCTCTATTCTTTGAGCTGGGAAATGAGTGTGAAAATGATGCATACCAGATTTGACATATAGCCAAAAAAATTATCAACCTGAAGTTGCTACTGGAATTTTGTTAACAACACATATTTGCGTATGTGCATACGCCTAAGTGTATAAATGTCCATCCATGTTACACACAGACATGTAATTCTAGAAGCATTACAGTTTTGATTGTCAATACAATGATCATTAAGTAGAGACCAATTCATTCACAGATCCAGGATCATGTGAGATGTTTAGGATCAATAAAGATGTGTGATTATGGCAAAACCAAAGGTAGCTTGATGAGGCATCCTTCTGGCTGCTGTATGGCTGATCTAGCAAGTTTTTTTCTTCTTTTTCTTCTTAGAAGCTTCCAACCAACCATACAACTTTTGGTTAATACCTTCCTATATGATGTTTAGCTCCTGGCAGGAGCTATTGCTAAACAAAAGGAGTTAAAAAAAAAGAAAAAAAAGAAAAAGAAAATGTTATTTCAAATCTGCCTCCTTAGAACAACATATTGATGAAGAAGATATTCTCTAAGCAATACTATATCCTATAATAAGGTTATTTATGTGACGGTTGGCACTGCTTTAAGGGTGAAGTTTTAGGAATTGTTGGTTTGATTATGCTCCTCAAAGTTGTTACTCTGACCTTGTAAGGATTGGTTAGGACAGAGATGTTAGTGGCTAATATTGTCAGGATTAGTAAAGTGATTGTTATCTTGTCAGTATTGGAGCTTGAGGATTTGTTTGAATATTTGCATCCCCAATAGCCAATATGAACAACAATGCCTTTCATCTTGGCTAATTGTATTCTTAAGTATCTTGAATTAGATGTCTACTAAGCGAAGTTATCTCCCAACAGCAAAATAATACTAATACTAATAATAATAATAATAATAATAATCTAAGAACTACTTTGATTGCTATTTTTTTTTAGTATCCTGAACTAATGGCATCTGCAATGCTTGCTTTATGTTGATTTATGATTATTGATGCAGATTTTTGGTAAGATTTCTCTCCCTCCCTCCCCCCATCTCTTTGTGTTTGTGTGTAACAGAAAATGACATCTAATTTCAATTGGTTTCCCGTGATGCAAATCTCTAGCTTCTCTTCACTGTTGGGGAGAACGCAAATTTCTAGCTTGAAAATGATATTGGATTTCTATCAGGTTTTTTGCTCATACCTTTCAGTAGATGTTTCGTCTAAATAGCGAATTGTGCATATTTGCTGGCTGCATACAGGTATTTTCACAGGACAAATCCATTTATGAAGCCGTGAAGAATGCATTCATCACAATATATGTAAGGAAGATTCCAGTAGAAACTACTAAAAACCTTTTATATCTTGCTATAGATTCAAACATTGGTGATCTTGCAGCTCTGGAGTTCATAGTTGGTGCCTTGGTATCCAACGGTGATATAACTGCAAGCACGGTATGCTTCTCTCCTCGTCTTTCAATAATCTTTTACAAATCGTAAGTTAGTTGAAATCTTTTGGTTGAGCTATTTTTGATGATATTCATAGGTGGACAAAGAACTACATTTTTGCCATACTATTCATGCATGCTTGGAGCATAAGAAGTCTAGCTCTTGCCAAGATTGAGCTAGGGTTGCAATTGACCTGAGTTGAACCAAACATTTGGCAGTTTGAGCTTAGCATGAAACAGTTGGGTTGAGCCATACTATCTTTTATTTCCTTTCAATTTGAACCCTTTCCGAGGTATGCTATGGATATATGCTATATCCTTTTGTTTTATCTTTCTGCTGAATAATCTGTAGTTTTGTCATTGATATGCAAATTGAAAAATAATGATGTTAAGTAAAAGGATAAAAATGATTTATACCATTGTAAAACTTAAATTAGTAGATATCGGACAAATATGTTGTTTACATATATGCTTTTCTGATTTTGAATAAGCTGCCATGCTTTAAGGCTTTTGCCTTTTCAAAATTGGTGAGAAGAGTGCATCACATATTTATTTAGTTCATTTTTACTCACAACAAAGTTTTTATATCATTATAAATACATGACTCCCCAGTTATTTTCAAGTGTATCCACTGAAGATTCGGAGAAATGAGGTAAAAATTGAAATCTATTACTTACATGTTTGAATTAAGTATTGTTTCTTACATTGTTTCATTTATCATATGGGATTTTTTTGTTTTACAGGTCTTGATAGATACAGATCACTGCTATTGTGTAATTCTAAATGCAGATGGTGGGGCAGCATTTCCTAGTGAAAAGACTGCACAAGATTGCAGTTCTAGTGCTATTTCTTCTTTGAAAATCAACACTAGTTCTGGAAAGACAGAGAAGACAAAGGTTTGATGTATTCATTAGTTTATGCGAAGAATACTAGAATTTGTTTCATGATTTGCCTGAGTTTCTGATATTTTTTTTTTTGGGTTGTTGTTGTCTTTCTTCGTTATCCCTAATGTGAAATAATGTTCTTAATTATGAGCTGAATAATTGTACTATGTTTCTATCCAGTTGCTCACCTAGGGATGTGCTATTGTTGTCTTAAGAAATCATGACTATATGTCGTGTTGGACGAAGTATATTGTGACTATGTGCTATTTGTTGTTCTTCACACCATAGTTTGAGTAGTAGTTGTCTCCAACTATATCTATATATCTCAAGAGTGATAGTTTTGTTTGCTTTACATTCCTATGAGCTGAATAATTGTACTGTGTTTCTATCCAGTTGCTCACCTAGGGATGTGCTATTGTTGTCTTAAGAAATCATGACTATATGTCGTGCTGGACGAAGTATATTGTGACTATGTGCTATTTGTTGTTCTTCACACCATAGTTTGAGTAGAAGTTGTCTCCAACTATATCTATATATCTCTGGAGTGATAGTTTTGTTTGCTTTACATTCCTTAACTTACCCAGGGTTGAACCTACAACTTGATCTTAGTATTTCTATTATTTATTGTGTATGTTTTTTAGTTACCACTTTGCTGCTGATGAATAATCACTAAACTAGTGTTTTAATTCTTAAAAATTGATGGGATTTTGATTATATATTATATATAAGGGTCAGAATTTCATTTCAGTACATTATTTTAGTTAGCTTGGAAATAGAAACATGAGGAAAGCATAAAAAAATGTTTGTAAACAAAAACCAAAACCTACCTTAATGGATAATTAAACATGGCTACACTAAACAAGGTTTACGAATTGCGCGCGCACACACACACACACATATGTATATATAAAAGAAGAAGAATAAACATAGACCACAAGAGGGTAATGTGCACAGTCTTATGCGTAATTGTTTACGATCTAAAACTAAAGCAGATAAGAGAGGTTGAAGAATAAAAAACTAAAGCAGTTGCCTACTTGAATATAAAACTCAAGTAAAGCAAAGTGACTATTTCCTTATTCTGCTCTTGCCATAAGAATTATTGACACAGCTTCAACAAGGAGGGACCACAAATATATATATATATATATATTGTAAGCAAATAAATAAAAAGAAGACCCAACCCTATACACTCAATCTATAGATTCTATATTGAGGTTGTGGTACTACTTGAGGAACTTGGACACCATGCTTCATTCCAAGGCCCTGCTGTAAGTGTGAGCCTTGTGCACTGGGTATAACCTTTTTTGTCTGGATTGCACTCTCCTCTTGTTGGTTTAGCATTAGGCATGGCTGGCTGAGATGCAAATTAGCAGCCTCTTGATAAATATTTTGGTCAAAGATAAAACTTGAAAATCTGAAATCTTAACTTTTGTCAAGTGTTTTCATAAAATGCTAATTGATTACACCCCCAAACACATAACACACAATTTCTTCCTCATTTAAGAGAGTGGAGGGCTTTGGTTTGTTCTAAAGTAATAGCATCTTAATGGGTTGGTAGTTTGTGATTGCAGAGTTCTTGCCCAAGTTGCATACTTTGGTTCTCACTAACAATCAACTAACGAATTTGGTTGAGATTGATCCTCTTGCATCACTCCCTAAGCTGCAGTTTCTTAGTCTTCTTGATAATAATATCACTAAATGCTTTCAATTTTAAGTGATCATGGTTAGAGCACAGGATCCATTTCACAAGAGCTGACTTGAGATACCTCTAAATGAACGATCAGGCACAAAAATTTTGGCATGATCAAGCAACTCAGATTATTATGTTCTTCCTCTTCCATGATTACGTCTTATGTTATTTTATGTTTTAATATTTCAAATGAATTTTTATTGGTGGATTGTTTCATGTTGACTCTCACTAGTTGATTGATCAATATTGAAGCAAGTGTTTCAGTGGAATTTCTTCCATGAAGTCCATAATATAATGTCATTTCCCCAAGTAAATGATTTGTGGCAAGTAGCATATCACTATGTGCATGCAATTAGCTTGTGCAGACTGCTTGTCCACTCAGGCTTTGAGTTCAATATTGATTAGTGGAAAGTATTTTAAATTTTTCCTTACTAACAAATTGTTTCTGCTTTGAAACTTTTCTCCACACTTAATTATCATCCAAATACTAACAATTATCAATATGGAAATAATAATAATAAAAAAGTAAAACTATTCAAGCCATGTATTTATCGATGTGGAAATAATTTTCAGCTCCTTTGGTCGATCAAAAACTTGACATTAACAGTTTACCTTGCTAGAATAACAAAGTTTATATCATAATCTTTTAGTTTGTGATATTCAATCAAAAGTTTTACAACTTCCTGAAATAAAGTTTGTAGTTATGACATTTCCATTACAGAGTTTGATTAAATCACCAATTCTGGATATCAGAGTACTACACTGAAATTTTATGTATCAATTTTGAGCATTATTCTTTCTTTCTTTTTTTTTTTTTTTTTTTTTTGATCAACTACAAAAAAAAAAAGGAGTTATTCTTTCTTCGTCTGGGCTTATCTCTCCCTCTCCTTTACAACTGGGAAGTCTGGATTCGGGAGCCTCCTGTCACTTGGACATTCCCCTAGGAAAACTGACAAGATTCACATGAAAGGCCCTGGAGGACGTGGGGAGGTGGAAGTTGCTGTTTCTCGTGTTGTAGGTAAATAAGAAAATCTTTTTTTTTCCCCTCTCATTCTGCAAGTCTTCTAATATTTTGTAGTTTTTTTAACCTTAATTTTATTGGTGATAATGTTTTTGCTGGTGAAGAACATGAATTGAATTGATTCGTATTTCATAATGAGTAATGGAACTTTACGAACCTTGACTCCCTTGGCGTCTGTTGGCAGAATTTCATTTAAATGTTTTTATTAAACTTACCATTCTTATTTAGCATAGCTGATCCACCCCAAACTCCCTTCCTTCCTCGTTTCAGAAACAGGTGCTTATGGTTTGACAGCTGTAAAGCTTTCTTCTCAAATATCTTTTGTAAAATAATTATTGCTTTTTCTTTTTTAATTATTTTCTTGGTGGTGCGGGAGTGACAGTTTATCTATTATTATTTTTCTTTGAATACATTGAATTTGGCACAATAGAGGAAATTAATTCCTTTTTCCTTAGGTTTTTGTAAGTGCCCAGTTTGCTAGGATTTGCTTGAGAAGTATATAGTTTACAATATATTGATGTGGTTTGTTTTTTGCACTTGAATCGTGTCATTTTAAGCCTACTATAGTAATGCTTAACACTCACTCACACACACACACACACACACACACACACACACAGAGAGACTGCTACCAGATCAATAAAAAGATTAATGGACTTTGTTTTAAACTTGTCATTGATCAATACAGATTGCTACCAGATCCTCTTTTTTGCTGGTGGCTAATGGCTGTTGCTTGTTGGTTTGTTGCAGCTACTGGTCTGCTGCTATTGCTGCCCTCGTGGTTGACGCTTGCTGGGCTACTGCTGCTGCAATCTTGCTGTGAGGCGGCTGCTACTAGATTTTGGTCTGCTGGATAAGTTTGTGGGTGATTTTCATGCCGTTTTGCCTGTCTTTGTTAGTTTCATATTTTTATTTTGTTATCTGTTGTTTCTAATGTGGGTTCACCATTTGGATGTATTTGGGTATTTTAGTGACTTTACCCTTTTGGGTTTTATACATTGCTTCTAAAAGCAGTGTCACTAGTGTTTTTTTTGCTTGCACATCAACTTTAGGTGATTTCATATCAATGTTATTAGTTTGTAATAGTGGTGCCTGAGGGATGCCTCTTGTAAATCTGTAAATTTTATAAAAATATATAAATTATTTTCAATTATTTTTGTTAGTAAATGTGTCGCCAAAAGTTTATTTTTGCCCACTCATATTGTGTTACTAGAAGTGTATTTTTTGCTAATGTCAATTTGTCGTTGCCAAAAGTAAACTTTTATCGACAAACAAATTGTCGACAAATGGCAATATTTACTGACGTAAATGTGTTGCCCAAAGTTTACTTTTGCCCACTCATATTGTGTTGCTAAAAGTATATTTTTTGCCAATGCTAATTTTTCGTTGCCAAAAGTGAAGTTTTATCGACAAACAAATCGTAGGCAAATGACAACATTTACCGACGTAAATGTGTCGCCAAAAGTTTACTTTTGCCGACGCATATTTTGTTGCTAAAAGTATATTTTTTGCCCATGCAAATTTGTGTCGCGAAAAATGCCACACAATCATCATATTTGAATGGCTTTTACCGACGCAAGGTAAATTGCCGACGATAGATGAAGGCTTTTATCGATGACTATGTTCGTCGCTAAAGGCATTACTTTTACCAACGCAATGATAATTTCATCGGCAAAAACTTTTGCCGACTCACTTTTGCCTACGGGTTGCCAACGTAGCTTTGTGTGTCGGCAAAACTCTTTGTCGACGAATTTTCCCTTTTAGCAACATATTTTGTTGCGTTGCAAAAAATGCAATTTCTAGTAGTGAGCAAAGGCCAATAGTTATTTAAGTCCCCAAGGTATGAGACTCCCGTGGTGGTACTTATAGAAAATAATTGTTTATAAAATCATTGTCATATAATTTCTAAAAGTTAAACAAACATATCCATGGGTTTCAATTTAAGCAAATAGAGTTAAAAAAATAATTAACATAATCAAAATATTAATATAATTTATAAAATATAGATTGCGTAAAATAATTTATGGTAACCCAAGGTATAATATAACTCACCTTTATTTTAATTTTTACTATTCCCCTCCTATATTTTTTTTTCTTTCCGACTTTTCGAGATCTCTCTCTCTCACTTGTTTTTTTGTTTTTCTTCTCTCCTTCACTGGCTTTCATGGCCCCCTCCCCCTTTTTATACACGCCCCTGGGTGATGACTCACCCCGTGATGATGAATTAAGATTGATGACTCACTCTTCCCTAAGCTTAGATGGCACAGATGGC